ACAAATGAAATAAAAGCAAAGACTGTCACATTTTCTGATAAATTATCCGGTGGATAATTAAATACATGAAAGACTTATTTATATAGTTCTGGTTTTTTGTGGACACGTCTGAAAATTTAGCTTCAAATTCTATATTTCTTGAAGCAAATATAAATATTGGTTAAAGTTATGGATTTAAAGAGTTGATTTAATAGGTGAAACATGTGGAAGAATTCATCAATGATAACGGTTAATAGATTGGAGACGGCATATCTTCTAAAAAGCTCTCCATTTAGTACATTTCGCGTCGCATCACGTTTCATAAAATTTGTACTATGACATATTTGGCAAGAAAAAGTACAAGGATGTACTGTCGTCTCATCTGCTCTTTGAAATTAGCAATTTCATTTGAGAAATCTCTCGTACTCATTGTTAAACTTCTGACATTATACTACTACTTGTCTGCACCGGTGGCCTGAAATTATATTTTATTACTAAAGAAGTAGTTGGAAATGATCATGTATAGATTTTTCTTTAATTTAAGTCTATAACCTGTATAAATCAATAGCATCACTCCTTGATATTTCGCTACTTCTTGAGCTATTTAAACCAATGAGGCCAGGTGCGCCTGATGTTGCGAGAAATGCAGCATTGTTGTAACTGTAATCAAAAGTATTACTATTTCAAGGCCGTGTAAGATTATTTATGCATGAAATAAGCTGGTGGCAAGTTTCACCAGTTCAAAGCAGAAATGTAAGCACAAAGCGTTCATCTCTGAAGTATGCTGATAGAATGCAGATCTGCAAATTATAGCATGCCAAAACAAATTGAAGTTCAAGTGGAACTGAGGTTAAGAAGAGATTGTCTAGGAGCTTAAGGTATGGTTATGTACTCAAACACCTATGTTGTTAGTTAGAGCCGTTAAATTAGCATCACTGGCGTTTGTTTTATAGTAGTAATACCTTGTGCTATGGTCGTTATCGACAGGTAATGAAAGAGCTGGTTGTGGTGATGCAACATTCGGCCTAAAAACCAGTGTTTCGAATGTAAAATTTTGGTGCAGATTCCAGTTCATTCACAAGATCACAAAAACGGAACTTCGAACTCACCGAGTGCTTGCCGTTGACCGGACACCTATTACTGTCGTTTTACCATTCGTAAAATTTTGTTTGTAGTTTACTTTCCTGAAAATGAAAATTTTTATTTTATTTGCATGACGTAACGTTAATGCTACATAGTAGATGGATTGGTGTTAGTTACAGTGTCAAAAGTGATAAGAAAATGAAAAACTAACTTGTTCCTTGCATTGCCAGATCTTATTACAGTTCGGAATCGCTCTGCTATTGTTGCCATCGCCTCACTCAGTGTAACCTTTTTGCTAATCAGCACTACAAATATAACCACTGGCATCAAACGTAGAGCCAAAAGTGTCCATAGTACACCTTTTCCTATGAAAGCTGAGGAAATGTATGGATCACAAGTGTTCTGAAATGCCATGGTGACTTTTATTCATAATGAATTGATTTTTAATATTTTAATGTTTACAACCAGTTTATCTTCATTGAAATATTCTTAACGGTAACCTTCTGTCTAGGATGTTGCATTTGGACTATTATACAATAGGATACTTGCCTCTTTTCGACAAAAAATTTTCACTATTCCTTCTGCACTAAATTAGTTATTACCAATTATTATTACTATAATCAATTAATATTAATAGATGTTTCTAAAGTCGAAAGATCTATTTTTCGAAGGACAATTGTAAAGCAAATTATGTGGTTGCTAAACTTGCCAAGGGATTTTGCTTCCTCTTTTGTGCAGCGTAAAGATTTAAATCGAAAATACATCCGAGTCTTTGTTCCATCTGTACCAGTCCACCAGGATTGTACGGTATGGCATGATTTAACAAATTCTCAGTGACACCTGGTAACAGTGATGCGTGCGGGAAAATCATGAATGCCAACACGTGAACCTCCGTTATACAATATAATATTGCTAACACAAAAAATAGCTGAAAACTCAACAGTTCTTAGTTTCATTCCACCTAATTTTTTAACTGAAAGATCTTGAAACACCAAAAAAAAAAAAAAAAAAATGATTCATAAGTATTACTAGAGCTTTTGTATCACATCAAACATTAAGTATTTAGTATTAGATGTAAAAAGACTTACCCAGAAAACAACATGTGCTTTGCCTCTATTTGTATCTGTAGTCAGATATATGAAGATACAAATGGTCAAGAAAAAGTAGCATCCCAAATCGGCGAATAAAAATGACCACAGCAAGGTCTTGTACTGGAAAACGAAAAATGACAGATGTAAATTTTTTGAAATTTGAACGTTACTATCATTAATGAAAGACCTTTTTGAAGTTCAAACCAGAAAAGTTAATTTACACGAACCATCCGATGTTGTTCTAGTGTTTGTAGCTCATTTTCTTCAAGCTCAAAAAATCCAAGTTGTTGGTTGTAATTAATTTTGCTAATTGCAATCGATTTATCTAAGTAGTCAATAAGTTCCTCATAAACAGGTTTATCTTTAATCAGATATATTCCAATACAACAGACAGAAAGCAACACAATGAAGCACAGTAGTATGCATAATAAAGCAGCCAGTGACTGCCGCCAACCACCTGACTGCAATTTCAAATTTGATTGATTAGAAATTCGAATTCAAATCAGTAAGATTAGCAGTTTTTTCATTATATTATTGTTATTTATAGCAAGCTTAGAAAATGAATACGTCGGAAGAGTTAAAGACCAGTCCATGAGCTTCGTCAATGGATATTTAACAAGCAAATATTAACTTTCTTCCTTTTTTCTTCAGAATAAAAATTTTTTAATTTTTGGACATTTAATTCATAGACTTAGTACCTGTTGTGAACTGGGTTGCGGCATCAGTAGAGTAGGCCCAAAGCCTCTTGTTATTCCCATATTTTAGTGTCTTTCCGCTTCAATTCTACAGCAGCAATGAAAATGACTTATACCATCACGTCGGTTTCAACTTCATTTATGTAACCTATTTGCACGGGTTTTGAGTCTATCTAACCAATCACATTGTTTAATAGACCAAACGTTTACAGCACCAGAAATTTAACATTAATAAAGAATATATGTGCATGCAAAATACAGAATTCTTTTATCTTGAAGTGGCGGTAAAAAGTAACCAAATACAATGAGTGTATTTTAGAAAATTCAAAGGAGGTTTTAAAAATTACAAGATATGAAAAAGATTTTGAAACTGGTAGCGACATACAATGTGGTCGAGATACAACGTTGGCCAATACATTAATGAATCAGCAGAACAGGAAGAGCGGTTATTAACAAGGTCAACAACAACAGCTCAGCTAAAAATTTTACTAATTATAAGTGCCGGATAGATACTGTTTTAAATGTAAGAGATCAAGTCATGAAGTAAAAAAGATATGATGGGATTTTGTTTCTTTTCAGCAATCACCGAATCATTTGCTGAAAATATTAAATTTCTCAAGAAATGAGAAAAAGAAAACAAGAGAAAATGATGAAAAAAAAAAAACTCGTTTTGTTTCCTAAATTTCACACATACATTTAATACCAAAATACAATTCAACGGTTTCCAACAAACAGTTTGTCTTACTTTTTGCTCCAACACAGATTAATGAAATTTTAATAAGTGGCTGTGAGGAATTTTTTGAAATGATAGTCTAATTTAAGAACTTGTCTAGTTTTATATAGTGGGAAAATAGTGTAAGATAATAATTATGATAATTTTGAAAGAGTGAAAGCTTTGCGAAACAATTGAAACAAATAGATATATTGAAATTTAAGAAATCCATTCTCATATATACCCTGCTGGAAATTTTGGAATGCAGGATGAAATGAGAGAAAATGAACACAGTGCAAAGGAAGCTTTGACTAGATGAGCAGTAGTGGAGTGATAATGACCAATCATCAGAGAATCGAATTTTAGAATTTGTGTAGCAGAATCATCCATACCTGGCATATATGAAATGAAGAAGAGTGTTAATTGTGTGACAAAATGATGACAATGTCACCGATATGATGGTGAATGCTGAGCACCCCAATATATAATCAGTAAAGGTCATCAAATTTTATTCTCTATTTACGATTTGTCTGAAATAAAACTATTGATTACTAGAGTTTTTTTCTTCTTTTAAAATTAACTTCAAATGCTTAAAATCACAAAAGAATTAAACTGCCTATGAAAGCTAATATTATAGAGATCCGAAATGTTGCAACTGGTAAAAATTAAAAAAGTCTTTAGTTTATTTATATAAAATTTTTTAGAAGTTCCATTTTCCTATTTTCAGAAGAGAATAAAAATTGAAGGAAACAACTGAAAATTAATTCTTTAATGCAAGTAAATATGAGGTAGCGATGCGGTTTTAGACTAATAAAAAGTAAACTATCTATTCTTTTGAAAGAGTCGACAAATTAAGTTCTTGCCAATAAAGCGACCCATGAAATTTTTTTAATCTTTAAAAAAGGGAAAAACTAAAGAAAGAATCGACTTTCAGACTCCTTCGAGTAATGCACTTCAAGGATATATTTTGATGATTTATTAAGTATCATAATGAATTACAATAACAAATGGAGGAGAAAAATCGATAAAGTATCATTTAAACAAAGATCAGTTCACTTCGAATTTTAACTTAGATTCCAAATTAATACCAAATTTGTCACCAGAGAATTTCTCAAGAACTTCAGCTCATGTGTGGCTTGAAAAGAGACGATGGCATGGTAGAAATGAATTTGTCGAAAAAAAAATTGAGCAATTTAAATTTCAATTGAAACTTGAATTTGATTTTGACAAAAAATTGTTCAGACTAGTAACTCTCATAATACTATCACAAATATGTAGTTATTTTCACTAATGAGCAATATCAACTTTTACGGTACAAATTATGCATCAGTGAGCTTTCAGTCTCTTGAAAATATCGAGGACGTGACGTAAAGATTGCCGTGCGGAGTGGTGAAGGTATAAACAACACCAACAGCCAGAAATCATCGTTTACTGCTGTCATTAACAGAGGTCCCATCGACTTCCCATAGCAATCAAAACAAAGTTAATGTCATTCCTATCCTCAGACGGCCAACAATGATAATACCAATCGATAACCTCTGTCCTTGGTAGAAAAGGGTGACGGTGAAGTCCGCACCTTGACAACACATCCACTAACCTACTACGTTGACAACGCCGGAAATGCGAACGACTCCATCCATAACAATAGAACCTTTCCATTGACAAACTTCCGTAGTACTTAGCGAATGAATCGATTTCGAATTTGTAGTCAGTCAAATGCAACGATCCGACGTGACGTCCAATTATACCTGCCATTAATGCCACTTGATACAGCTGATAGCACAAACTTAATAGTCTCCAGAAAAGGATAGGGATGAAAAGTGGTAGAGCTGCTAAGTAGCTAGTTTGATAAGTTTGATAAAAATAAAAATGAGGAAAAAAAATAAAGATAAAAATAAAAATTAGTGGCTTGGAAAGAAAACGGAAAAAAGTTTCTTGTTTTTCAAAAAAAAAAGTTCTTTTGCAATTAAAGCTAATTACTGGGTAGGAACGGTGCATCTGTGTGCCACTTTTCAACATAAATTTTCAACCAGATTTATCCAATTTTCACTTATTGAAAAGCTTTGTCTACTTCATTTTTAGACTTTATTATACCAGCAAAACTGAATATGAAAAAACAAATGTTCTAGATATTTCTGTCCAGTTTCGATGAGACAATAAAATTCGGAAATGAAGTTATCAAGGAATTCAAGAAGAATGAAAGATACATTCTCTAATCACACCAGCGATGATTGGTATGCAAGAGTTTCTTCAAAATTCTAAACCAAATACGGTACAAATGAATGACTCATATTTTGGATTTCAAAACAGATGATGACAAGTAGACAGAAAATTGATAGGTTTAATTAACTTTTCGGCATCTTTCCTTGCTAGAATCGAAGTGGTAAGGGAAATGATCACATTTTGGGTTTCTTTCACTTATATTTAAGCGCAAAACCGAAAGTACTGATGACACCGCTACATCAAAAATAAATAAGACCTAGTAGAGAAATCTAAATTAATTTTAAAGTTTTGAATTAAATTTTGATATTAGATCCTAATTTAGAGTAAAAAAGAAAATTTCATCTGATTTTTTAAATTAAAGATTAGTTCAAAAGTAATTTTGTTGGCAGTGTCAATACAGCAGAACTTTCATATAAAACTCTATAATTTTCGGCAACAGATGCAGGATAAGTTTATTAAGGTCGTAACTAAGTTTACACCAAATCATAGAAATGCGACAAATAAATATATAAACTAATTTGTGGAGAACGCTAAAAAAAAAAAAAAAAAAAAAAAAACCGTAAATAAAAACGAATATTTAGATTATCCTTGAGATCAGCGAATCAAGGTTTTACTTACTTCACAGAATACTACTGTGGGACCAATCGTAGATTTATATCAAGATAGGAGACTGCGTTATTACCTGTGGAGTATTTGAAAGGAAAGTGGATTTAGAAGTGAAAAACATTTAAAATCGGGCAAACTTCGAGATGATAATGATCGGTCTGGTTAGGTATCTGTGCGACACATGGAGCAATGGTCGGTGTAGTGGGTTGGAAACAAAGAGGAAACAAGGACAGCAACCATTCGAGTGGTTTGGGGGAAGACTGCAGTTCCGATCTAGTTGCTCTCACATTGCCATAAATCACTTGAGACAATTAAATTTGGGGGAATTGATGACCGATGATTCAAATTTTGAAAAAAATTGCAAAAATCATTGGTACTCGTACTACCGTGCAGCCTTTGATGGAACCTTACTGAACACTTTGAATGCAAATTTTGAACAAAAGTCAAAATTTTCACGAAGCATTAACTGGGAAAGTTACAATGATAAGGTTTTAATCATCTCGATAATATCAATTTCTCATCACATATCTTGAAAACGTCCATGCCTTAAAGTTCATCCTGACGAAAACTGAAAAAGTCAGAAATGCAGAAAGTGTTTAAAATGTTCTCTCTAGATGATTTGCTGAGATTAACGGTGCAGAAGATGGGAATATTATAACTTTCATGCTTTTCAGTTGCCTTCAAAACATACATTAAAAAGCAGAAAAATCACGTTTTACACAAATCATAAATAACTTAAAAGTGTGATTATCAAGTTGTCAAATGATTCTAGATTGAAAAGTCTACCAACTTTGGAAGGGAAAATTTTTAGGAAGTCAATAAATCATTTTGAAGCACTGAGTCTACTTTAACCAGCAGTAAAATTTCAAGTTAGATGATATCCTAAAATGTCATTCTGAGATACACCATACAAAAAAAAATAGTTATCACGAATTCAATTAAAGCCTGAAAATACTCTACTGAAAAAGGAAGAAAACCCGACCCAAACCTAATTTTTGTAATTTTCTGTTTTTATCATTAATATTTCATCAATATTTTCGAGAGTTAGAAAAATCAAAATAACGAAAACTTCTTATGATTTTTTCAAAAAATAAATAGTATTTTGTTAATAAAAAAGGTGAAAACTGACATATAATTTAAATTTTCTAAACTTATTGCTACGGACTTCAATAATTATCTTCCATTTTGGCAAGAAAATTTGACGAAAAAGAAAAATTTCCTTAAACTGCGATGTTCTATTTTATTTTAATAAAGCAATAAAAGATAGATCCCTCATCATACTGTACACCTGTTTTATTCTATAATTACCAATTTTGTTTCATATAATTTATTGAGGCAGGGAGCCGTTTTCATTTAATTATATTGCTTTATACATAATGAGATTTAAAAAAAAAGCATAACTGAAAAAGATGAAGGAGGAAAAGAAAGATGCGCCATCAAAATCGATCGTTATTTTATGTGATTTTCCTTTGTGACAAAATTTTCCCTCAACTAGACAAGTTTCTATTCCGCTGTGATTTCTCCGCACACAACTTTCTTTAAAAATTTTTAACGACAGTCACAAGAATGGGCCGTTAACCTTATTTATGTAACAAAAGAACACTTTGTAAATTCGAGAAATTCATGGAAATTGTAATTGAACTTTTCATCAAGAAATGGACACTTAAAAAATTCAAAAATTTTTTGGAAATCACGTGAAAACCAAAAATTCCGCGTTAGGAGCATTAATGAATAATCAATCCTGAATTCGCGACAAACAAAACTGATAACTTTGTCCTTGCATAATTGAATGTAATTGGGAGACTATCATTTGAGAAGCCATCCGTCCAAGTGAAAGATTTCTCTTTCTTCAAGTATATTTGATCAATAACTGATTTATATTCATATCTATGTAAAATATGAATATGTTACGCGGAAAAATTCTTTTGAAATTAAAACTAATAATTTATTTTGATGAATACAGTGCAGTGCTTGACGCGGTTAGAAAACTGTTTAAACTATCAATCTAATTTAATTATTGTTTCCAAAAAATCTTAAAAATTCTGTGTGCCGCGGAGAGGAGGGGAAGGGACTGTTGACATATTCCGAGAAGTACGTTCAGCAATATTCTATTCCAGTGGTAGTATGAATAATCAATCATCCGCTGTTTCATTGCTGAAATCTGTCGGCTATTTTCAATGAGTCTCAATCTATTATCTTTTCGATTTACTATTTTCCAAAGCGAATTTCAGGAGAAATTATTTTTTTTACTAAGTTTATGTTTTAAGGAAAAATTTTTATGGTGTTCAAATAAACCTAAACTTAATAAGATTCGAATTAGCCCATGCATTAAATCAATTTGAAATTTTCTCTTTTGAGCAGATTTAATCTTTTTCTTGCCTCTGCATAACATAATATTTTTCCAATTCTCAAGTGCCACTACAATTTTTTAAATTAATGATGTTGACGTATTCTTAAAGTAATAATCTCTCGATTCTAATTAATTCTCATTAATTCGTTCCAAGTTTGGTTTTTGCTTTAGTCACTCGAATGCTGAGACAGGTGGTCTTTGGTTTTTTCTTGTTTTATGACTCTTTTTTTAGGGAGGAAGTTTTGCAAACCAAATTCCAAAAATGATCGAGGACAAGAAAATTTTATTGAAATTATTTTGTGCAACTTCGGAAAATCTGTTGTTTTCGTTTTATGGTGAAAAAAAATTAAAAATACAAAAGCTTTTGACAGAGCTCACGTGAGTAACGAAGCTGGAAAACTTTCTGGAAAGTATTTGTCTTTTCTTAATCTTCTGATAGCTTTCAATTGTTTCTTCCTAAATATTTCAAATTCCACTGTTTAGAAGCGTATAAGAAATAACATTTGTAGTCGATTAAGGCAATCTGCGCAAAAAAATGTTACTGATTAAAATCCCTCAATTAAAGTATTGAGAAGTCGAATACACAGTTAAATAATTAGACGATTTTGAAAAGCCGTACTAACAAATATTTTCTTAACGAAAGTTAGCTTTTCTCCTGCAAGAAAATAGTCTTAAAGTAATTTAAAAAATTTGATTCACTGTAAGTGACATAGTTGATCGTTAACAGCGGCATTTGTAGCAATTCTCAACAAAAAAGAGTTTCTTTTTTCCACTCGTTTTTAATGCTATACAAAAGATGAAACAATTCTGAGATGAAGGACATTACACTATCACACAATATGTTGAGAAATTTGAATTTATTACAATGGGATGAAAAGAAGATAAAATCCAAAAGTTAAATGGATAAAAGGATGACCGCGCTTCACAATTTTAATCCCTGAAATTCTAAAGTTCGTGTGATGATCAGGAAACCACGAATTTCTCGAGATGGCATTAAATTGGACCAAATAAATCTAGTTCATGCAGATTGTTCAATTAAAACACACTTTATGCAAAATTAATATTCTTTTAAGCTTCAAGAGGTAATGAGTTGGCAGATTCAAATCAGTACGATTTGTATGTGTTAACAGAGTATAAACGATCATTATCAGAAAATTAACCGTGAAAAGAAATAAAATCGCTGAAATCAAAATTGATATGAAATGGTTGATAAGTCTCTTGAATATCCAGTTCAGATCTGTCGAAAATATTTCCTGTTAATATAACGGCTAAAGTTAAAGGTGATCATTGCTGACACTTATGTAATTGCAATTGCAAGCAAACTGTGAAGATTTATAAAGTGTTTTGGAGAAACGAATAAGAGATACTGAGAAGGAAGTGATTAACAGTGAGAGGTAAGGGAGAGTCAACAATCATTACTTTATGTATCACAAAGATGAGAAGTGGAGTATTATGAATGACACAACAAATCAAATAATAAAACCCAATAGAATGAAAGAACTCATTTTTTCACAGCGATTAAAACAGTTTAATTTCTTTTCTTCAATAATGTCGTGGAGACCATTTATTGATTTAC